ATTCTGAGCTCTACAGCTATTCCCTAGGACGCATACCTAGACAAACATCCACTGCGCCTGGATGACCATCAACTTGGTGAAAGACAATCTCTGGTCTGCCTGAAATTTGTTGGTCTTCCAGAGCAAGGAGTTGACCTCGACCAAGTGTTGCAGACTGGCACATTCCGAGGTCCAGGACTATGTGCCAAAGGACATATTAAAACTTGGGGCAGCTGCTATGGAGGCCACCATCTAAGATCTTTCTACCGAAGTTAAAGGGGGATCCATTCAGTTATTGAACCCTCCCAGTATCTCAAACATATGCAAATACTATCTTGCATAAGTAAGAAATGCCTTGGGTTTTTTGGAAGTGTTCGAAGAGTCAAACTCCAATGTTTGTTTGTTCTCAATGTGCCAAAGCTGTACAGAATACTACATATGTATATAAAGATATTTATGAATAAAGTATATTTTTGAAATAAAAAGAATCTTGTAGACATGCCTGGAAAAGGAAAGACCAGTGGAAAAGGTTGCTCCAAGGCAAAATCTCAGTCATCCTCGGCTGACCTGCACTTCCCAGTGGGCTGTGCTCACCAGCTCCTGAGAAAGGGCACTGGAGCATAGCCTATCTGGCTGCAGTTCTCAAGTATCTAACAGCTGAAATCATTGAGCTGACCGGCAATGCTGCCCAGGATAACATGTAGACCTGCATCACCCCCAGCCGGCTGTGTTCGACAACAAAGAGACCAACAAGCTGCTGGGAGGCATAACCATTGCTCAGGGTGGGGTGCTGCCACTGAAGAACACCGCACCTATAAAGTGGAGAGACCATTCTTTAATCCAACTTGCGTTTTGTAGCTGTCGTCTGTAGGAATAGAGAGTGGGAGTGAGAGACCTGAGTTTGGTGACGAGTGGGTAAGGTTGTGTGATCAGTTCCTAGATTGTTTCTCTTGTTGATAAGGTTTGAAATGCAGGTAAACCTAAGCCCGTGGAATGCTCCTCCTGCAATTTCTGGGAAATGAGGGACACTTCCAGTGTTCATGCTGACTGCATATGCAGGAAGCCTGTCCAGCTGCAGCTTCTGATTTGCAGAATGGACTCCTGGAGCTGTGGATGCACACAGTGCAGCATCCATGAGGTTGAGAATGTCATGGATAGCACATTGAGTAAATTGGTCACACCACCAGCAAGGGTTATACTGACAGAGAAGAACCTGGTGACCACCAGATAGAAGAATAAATGTGGGCAGGCAGTGCTGGGGTCTCTTGTGGCCACTGCCCTCTCAACCAGGTATACCATGTTCTATACTGTCAGGGTGGGGGGGGGGGGAATGGTGTCTCAGGGAAAGCACAGCAGCCAGATCAGAGGTACCACAACTGGCAGTGTTATACAGCAGGGAGGGTTCAAATATAGGTGAGCAATAGTGATAGGGGACTGTATGGTTAGGGGCACACATAGGTGTTTCTGTGGTCACAAACAAGACTGCAGGACTGTGTGTTACTTTCTTGGTGCCATAGTCAAGGCCGTTTCTGAGCAGGCAGAGGATAGCGTGAAGGCAGAGTGTGAGCAGCCAGAGATTGTGGTCCATATTGGTACTGATGAGAGAGGTAGAAAGAGAGATGAGGTCCTGCAAAGGAACTTAGGTAGGAAGAGGAGAAGCAGGACATCTAGGGTTGTAATCTCAGGATGACTTTCTGTGCCATGGGCTAGTGAGACAAGGAATATGAAGATAGTACAGCTAAATATGTGGCTAAAGAGCTGGTGTAGGAGGGAGGACTTCAGGTATGTAGATCATTGAGATGTCTTCCAGGGCAGGTGGAACCTGTACAAGAACGACATATGATGATACTCTGGCTTTAAGAAGTGTACTTTGTCCTTTATTTTAAAAAATGGAAGAAAGGTTGAGGCAGAGATATCGAGCAGACTGCTCCAAAGCCAATAAACAGCTTATGAGGCCTTGGGGGTTTTTTAAAGTTGGAACAATAGAAGCAACCTGAATGGGTGGGGCTAGTGCCCTCAGAACCAGGATTTTTTTTAAAGTTTTGGCCTTCAGTACCTGTTGCTGAAGTTTTGAAGCTGGATGTGGAAACTCTTATTCCTCTCTCTGTTATAGCCAGAAGTTGGGTTCTCTTCCTAGTACTAGAACTGTATGTGAGACATCATATTTTACTGAATTTGCCTTTGCCAAGGGTGTGTGTTTATGGGCTGTTACTACATTGGAACAATTAATGCATAGTTAATGTATATTGTTTTGTTAAGCATTTCCATAGTTACAGTTAAGCCAATCCTTTTATTTGGTTTGTATTTTAAGTGTAGTGCATGAATAAAATGTGTTTTGTTTCAGGCCTAGTAGTTTGACCAATTGAATTGTATCCAGGACACAATGTCCTAAACTTACCTTTAAAATTAAAATGCTTGAGTCCAGACTATCTTCTTAAAATAGTTTGAGGAGATTTGGTCTGGTCCATAACCACAGGATACACCTGGACTGGAGGGGCACCAATATCCTGGCAGGGAGGTTTGTTAGTGTTACTCGGGAGGGTTTAAACTAGTTTGCTGGGGGTTTGGAACTAGCAAGTAGGTCTACAAGTAAAATAACCAAAGAGGAGTCAAAAACTTAGGCCAGTACGGTTAAGAGGAAGAACAGACAGGGAGAAGTCACTGAACATGACAGGATTGGTGGTCTGAGGTGTATTTGTTTTAATGTAGGGAGTAATGGAGACTTGGTTGAGAGAGGGACAAGAGTTGGCAGCTTTGTTGTGATAGGTGATTTTAACTTCCCCTATATTGACTGGGAATCATTAGCGTTAGGGGCTTGGATGGGGGCGATGGAGTTTGTTAGGTGTGTCCAGGACAAGTTTTTGAACACATGAATGGTTCAACTAGGGAAGGGGCCATATCAGATGCGGTATTGGGGAATGAGCCTCGCCAGGTGATTGAAGTTTCAGTGAGGGAGCATTTCGGGAAGTGACCATAATTCTGTTTGGATAAAGCCAAGAGTATTCCTAGGGTGAAAGAATTAAATTTTGGGAAGGCTAACTACCACAATATTAGGCAGGCACAGTGGAACAAAGATTGGGGACAGTTATTTGAGGGTAAATCCACATCTGGTATGTAGGAATCTTTTAAAGGCCAGTTTATTAAAGTCTAGGACCAGTATATTCCTGGCAAAAACAAAGGAAAAGGATGGCAAGATTTAGGAACCTTGGATGACGAGAGAAATTGAGAGCGGAGTCAAAAATAAATGAGGCATACGCAAGGTTTAGGAAACTGAAGACAGGGCCCTCAAAGAATATAAAAGTAACAGAAACAAGGAATTAGGAGGGTTAAAAGGGGCCATTAAATGTTTTTAGCAAACAGGTTTAACGAAGAGCCGAAGGCCATTTATACATATACAAGAAGCACGAGGGTAGCTAGGGAAAAGGTAGGTCCACTCGAGGTTAAAGGAAGGAATTTATGCATGGAGCCAGAGGAAGTGGATGAGGTCTTTAACAAGTACTTTGTATTGGTATTCACGAAGGAGGAGATGGTGGTTGGGGGGAGTCTTGGGAGGAGTAGGTTGATATTCTAGGACATGTCAATATGGGAAAAAAAAAGTGTTGAGTGTTCAGAAAAGCATTAAGATAGACAAGTCCCCAGGAACTGATGGGATTTATCCCAGAATGCCAGGGGAGGCACATGAGGACACTGGAGCCTTGTATGAAATCTTTGTATCCTCTTTAGTCACTGATTTCGTCCCAGAGGACCCGAGAATAGCCAATAATGTTCCTTTGTTTAAGGAAGTCAACAGGATTAACTGGGAAATTATAGCCGGGTGAGCCTTACAACAGTGGTAGGGAGGTTATTGGAGAAGATTCTTAGGGAAAGGATTTACTCACATTTGGAAAGTATGGACTTATTATCAATAGGCAGCATGGCTTTGTGCAGGGAAAATCACATCTCTCAAAATTGAGTCCTTTGAGGAAATCACAAAGATGATTGACGAAGGCAGGGTGATAGATGTTGTCTATATGGACTTCAGCAAGCACTTTAAAGTTTAAAAGGAGATTCACAGAATTCTGACACTGTGGAAACAGGCCCCTCGCCCCAACAAGTCCACACTGACCCTCAGAGCATCCCACCCAGACCCATCCCCCATAACCCATGTGAGAAGCTCATTTTCTTCTTTTTTTTTTAGAAAAAGGAATTTGGTAAGTGCCTGGAATGTGCTGCCAGAGGAGGTGCAGGATGTGGATACAATAGCAATGTTTAAGAGGCATCTTGGCAAATATATGAATAGGCAGTGAATAGAGGGATACAGATTGTGTAGAGGCAAAAAGTTTTGAGTTTAGAAAAGCACAGTGTGTTGGCACAGTCTTGGTGGGCCAAAGGACCTGTTTCTGTGCTGTACGGTCCTTGGTTCTCCCTAAATCTCCAACAACTGCCTTTATTTCCTTCATGGCCCAACTTGAAACCTGCCTCTTTGATCAAATTTTTGGCACCCTTCCTCAGAGTCCATGCTTTTCCTCTGAAACCTCAGCATGTTTTTATGTCAAATATAAATACATTATTCAAGTTATTTTGGTGTAATCGAGTTGCCAGCTTGTTTTGATAAGGCCACATCTCTTTCAACATTTCAAATAAGTTGTTCTTTACAGGTATTTGTAATCTGGTTCCCATAGTTAAGACTCGAGACTAAATTATCAGATCCTCACTGCTAAGTATATACCATCATCTAGGTTAGCCATCCAAATGTATTGTGCTGGGTCAAGACACACTGTCAATAGAACTACGAATTTGAAATACTCAATTATATATTGTAGGTTGCTTTCCATGAAACCAAATCTGTATTCCTGGAATTTATTCCATTTATTCCAAGCCTTCCACAGACTTGCAACTGTACAGAATATAACAGAAACATGGATAAGCAAATTTACTTGTATCCAGAAATCTCAAAAATAACTATCCTCAAATCATTCATTGAAAGTTTGGCAGCATCTTTTCATCTTGTTGTACAATACTGGTAAAGAAGTAGCATTACATTTAAAACAAGTCACATTTATTTGGTGATATATAATTTTACAGCGTATTCAAAACAATCCTTTGAAAGAGTCAGCTCCCACTCACAAAATGTCTTTCCAAGCAAGTTAAAAAAGAAAAACAAATATTGTTGCCAAATAGCCAGGTGGCTCAATTGCTCTCGTGAGAAAGGGGGTAAAAGTGTCAAAAATTCAAATTAGTCATAAAAGCAGCAATTAAATTGTAAACTGGCCACATGTGCAAATCTCTAATGCGTGCATTTTGCAAGTTCAGATACCATTTATTGTATAGCTTTAAATTTTTGTAACATCCAATCCACTTATTTATCAGTCAACTGGCTATTGGCGAGATCGATTCCTCTCAGTCTTCTGCTTTTAGACATGATTTACAGAATTGCCAAGGATGCAATTTATATTTTGTTGTTTTACAGATGGGCTTAAAAAGGGCATTGACCTTTATATTTACAAAAGATAAAATTAATAAACCATATAACCCAATTAACACGGAGCTAACAGAAATAACATTAAAAAGACTACCTAGTTCATTAAAATATTCTTAATATTCACTTACACTAAAAATTAATGTGGACTGAACAAATTTCAAAAAAAAAATGGACATTTCACATAATATTAGAAGTTTAAAATCCCTTAAAAAGTCATGTGTATTTCTTTCAGTGGCAATGAACAACGAAAGTAGATATAAAAGAAATGTTGCCTTGACAAATTGAAGACAATACTTGAACAATCTTATTATCTGTCAGTAAACACTGCAATTACTTGTAGTGTCCCATATGTTGGGCCTCAACCATCGTTCAGGTAACCTAAAAGATTCAGGCTGCAGGTGATGAGCCAAGGAATACTACTTGCCAAATCGTTACATGCTTGAACAAAGGATTTACAAGTATTTTCATAATAATTGCATGTCTCAAGTACTGGCTCTTTATTTCCTTATCCAGTTATGCTTCATGTCTTCCTTTTACCTTCTTCCATTGATGAATAGCTTACCAGATTTGGTTTTGTGGCGATCAAATGTCACAGATACCACAATAAAAATAATTAGCGTTACACACTGTATGGCTGCGAGAAGGAAAAAATAGTAGTCCATATGACATTTGTTGATGTTACCTGGAGGGAAATAAAACAGTTAACATGTATTAAGTTTTGACTTTTGCAAATTAGGAGACAATCACAAATAAACTGAACATGGGAAATGTTTTGTGTTTTAAAATCAACAACAAAGTATACCAATTCAATTACCTTGATGCTACTTTTACTACGTACACAGAACTGGTGCGGAAATTTACAGTATTTAATGGCCTCCGGTTATCCCAAATCACTTTGCAGCCAATTAAGTACTTTTTGAAGTGTTATAATCATTGTAAAATACAATATGACATGACAGCCAATTTGCACACAGCAGGCTTGAATGAGCCACAATGCAATATCAACTAGATAATCAATTGGTCAACTCTTTCATGCTATAAGCTGTACAGTTGTTTCATGAAGAGGGCAACTATTGAACTGAAATTTTTTTTTTATTTAGAAAGATATTGATTCATACATAATTTGAAAGGCAAGACAGGAATTTACTTATGTTTACAAATATTGGAGTGAAAATTTCATTGCACATTTATCCAATTGCACAACAATATTATCAATATTGTTGGATAGTTAAAAGTAAAAATTAGCATTGATTGCACTTCACACAATGGAAAGTACCTGGTTGTTTCTATCATTATCTCCAATGTATGGTCGATCTACACAAGAGGTCCTTGTCGTTGTTTAAGATTGCCATCTCAAAATCTCAATTTTGTAACAGTGAAATATTCTGATATTTAGGTTTTTAGGTTTTAGTATTTCAGTTGTAAATATTCAGAGAAACTGTGTAAATTCATCTATTTAATACCAGGAGCATTTCAAATTTATTCCTTTTTTTTTTCCTATTTTCAGGTTTCTCCTGCCTCCCACCATTCCTTCCTCAGACAGAAAGGCAGATGTCTTTCTCCCAACTCTTTAGTTTCTAGGTGTCTGTTACTCATGAGCAGCTGCTGGAGGATGTACAAATGATTGTTAGATGATTTGTCTAATAACTTTTCCCTTCCAGTGAAACATCATGGTATTGAAACTTTTCGGTGTGCAATGTTTACATTTTGATCGCGCATGCATTTACATCAAAGTACTGCATCCACTGTTATAACCAACTGCATTATGCAGATAGAACATAGAACATAGAACATTACAGCGCAGTACAGGCCCTTCGGCCCTCGATGTTGCGCCGACCTGTGAAACCAATCTGAAGCCCATCTAACCTAAACTATTCCATTATCATCCATATGTTTATCCAATGACCATTTAAATGCCCTTAAAGTGGGCGAGTCTACTATTTTTGCAGGCAGGGCATTCCACGCCCTTACTACTCTCTGAGTAAAGAACCTATCTCTGACATCTGTCCTATATCTATCACCCCTCAATTTAAAGCTATGTCCCCTCGTGCTAGCCATCACCATCCGAGGAAAAAGGCTCCCACTGTCCACCCTATCTAATCCTATGCAAAATAAAAGTCTGCATTTGTATTATTATATATACAGAGAGCGCAAGCTAGTCCATCTTTCATCGCATAACTCAAAGCACACTATTAAAAACCTGAGAGACAAGATTCAGTAGGACTGTAACAAAGCTAGTGTCCTACAATAACGTTGAACTATATACAAAATATAGAACAGGAAGCTGAATGATTTTTCAAGTGTAAAATATGATAATTCAAAATTGCTACTGTAAACATACTGCAAAGTGCTGCTTAATACAGCAACAGTTTTTCAATGTTGAGAATTTAAGATTGGTGCTGCTTTAGTCCTTTTATTGAATCAATTGTAAGTCATTCAGCAGTATGAAATATAGTACAATTAAATCTTACCATCTGTACATTTTTGATGTACAACACTCAAGTCAAAGCACCACTAGAGCTTTCAACAGAGCACTCTGAAATAGATCCACTCTCCTTTTTGGAGATTAGCATGGGAAAGGGACGTATGCAGGCCATTTAGAATACCAAATCACTTTCAATGTTGTGATTTAAAGGTGCAATTAGTATAAAAATCACCTGTAAAATAAGTATGCTCTCTTTGACATAAAAGCAAGATAAAAAGCCTTGAGACGTTTGTTTTTTTAATATGAATGACTGAGCTGAATAAGTCTGAAAGAAAAAAGGACGGTAGAGGGATGGAGTGATACTACCCCAATTGACCTTTTTTTGGTTTGATAGGAGGTTGGTACCAGTGACATGGAAAATCTCAAATGTACTTTTTTTGATTTGTGTTATGAATTGCATTTATGCTCAGAGTAGATACATTATGCTAGCCATTTGGAGGTTTGTAATAATTTGAGATTTCTTCAATTGGGCGAATGTTATTAAAAAAATTGGCCATAGCATCTTTATGGTAAATTTCAATTTGTCAAAACATGCCAGAATGGGTATTTTGAGTCAAAACTCAAGCAAACTTTTGAAGATAACTTGTGATCAAGGGTGAAACTTTCAGGTCACAAGAGATCTATTTAGCTAACATATTATCCTTCCTTTGTGAGGCTATTGGAATGAAGACCAAATTCTAACCGTTATTTAATAGCAGCACCTTTTGGGGGCTGATGACCAGTGGTTACAGTAGCTCGGCACAGGTACCAAAATCTAAACCAACAACCCACAATGTTACATGGCAGCTTCACATGCAGCATAAAAGGGTGGAATCTACTTCTAAAAAACTGGCTTGCACAGCTATCAGCAAAAGTGCACCAAATGAAGACTCCCCATCGAAATGGATTGTTTGACATGCTTCCATCAACTCTTGCAGCTGAAAGGATACCTTTCAATTATACATTAAACAAAAGATTTTCTATTTACCTTTGTGCCAAATGCAAAAAGCAACAACTAATATCCAACAAATAATGATTGGTTTGAATTTTTTTTTCTTCTGATGTGAAATAACAAACTATTCACAATCATTGGGATCCAGTTGATGGAGGTTGTAGCCTTACTCACCGGTGTGTTTGATAGCAGGGTGATGAAACGTCTGCAAGGTAACTTTGACAGTGCGCCTCCGGTGAAGTGTTGGTATTCCGTTGTCTCACTTGTTATTTACATGCCTTGGTTTGCTGGGGTGGTGTTGGTATTACTTCTGGTTTTGCTCTTCAGTCGTCATTTATGTATTGGGTCCAGTTCAAATGTATTTGTTGATGGAGTTCCGGTTTGAATGTCAGGCCTCCAGGAATTCTCTGGCATGTCTCTGTTTGGCTTGTGCTATTATGAATGTATTGTCCCAGTCGAATTTGTGTCCTTCTTTGTCAGTGTGTATTGAGACCAGTGAGAATTGGTCGTGTCTCTAGTTGGTGTTCATGTATCCTTATTGTCAGTTTTCTTCCAGTTTGGCCTATGTAATGTTCCTCACAGTCCTTGCATGGTATTTTGTATATTACATTAGTTTTATTGGTTGTGGGTATGGGATCCTTTAAGTTCATAAGTAGTGTGACAGGGTGGTTGTTGGTTTGTGGGCTACCCTGATACCTAGGGGTCCGAGTAGTCTTGTGGTCATCTCTGATATGTCCCTGATGTATGGTAGGGTGACTAGTATGTCTGGCCGTATTGTGTCTACTTGTTGTGGTCTGTCGCGGAGGTAACGGCAGATTGTGCTTTTTGGGTATCTGTTCCTTTTAAAAACTCCATGTTAAGTGCTCCTGTTCTGCTTTGCGCAATTCCGGGTTGCTGCAGCGTGTTGTGGCTCGTTTGAACAATGTCCTGCTGCACCTCCATTTATGGGTGTTGGGGTGGGTGCTGGAGTAATTAAGTAACTGGTCTGTATGTGTTGTCTTTATGGAGTTCAACCACTCTGCGACAGCCATCAAATGCAAAAGGACCCCATACCCACAACCAATAAAATTAATGTAATATACAAGATACCATGCAAGGACTGTGAGAAAAATTATGTAGGTCAAACTGGAAGAAAACTGGCAATAATGTTACACAAACACCAACTAGCCACTAAGAGACTCTCACTGGTCTCAATACACACAAAGGAGGACACAAATTCAACTGGGACATCACACCCATAATAGCACAAGCAAAACAGAGACATACCAGGGAATTCCTGGAAGCCTGGCATTCAAACAAACTCTGGCAACAAACACATTGAACTGGATATACAAACAACTGAAGAACAAAACCAGAAGTACTACCAACCACCTTAGCAAACCGAGACATAAATAATAAGCGGGACAAAATACCAACGCTTCACAGGAGGCGCACTGACAATGTTACTTAGCAGGGTGACAAAACATCTGCAATCAAACACAATGGCTCAGCGATAACAAGGTGTAGAGCTGGATGAACACAGCAGGCCAAGCAGCAGAGGAGCAGGAAAGCTGACGTTTCGGGCCTAGACCCTTCTTCAGAAATGGGGGAGGGGAAGGGGGTTCTGAAATAAATAGGGAGAGAGGGGGAGGCAGATAGAAGATGGATAGAGAAGATAGGTGGAGAGGAGACAGACAGGTCAAAGAGGCGGGGATGGAGCCAGTAAAAGGTGAGTGTAGGTGGGGAGCTAGGGAGGAGATAGGTCAGTCCAGGGAGGACGGACAGGTCAAGGGGTTGGGATGAGGTTAGTAGGTAGGAGATGGGGGTAGGGCTTGAGGTGGGAGGAAGGACAGGTTAGGGAGGCGGGGATGAGCTGGGCTGGTTTTGGGTTGCGGTAGGGGGAGGGGAAATTTTGCAGCTTGTAAAGTCCACATTGATACCATTGGGCTGCAGGGTTCCCAAGCGGAATATGAGTTGCTATTCCTGCAACTTTCGGGTGGCATCGTTGTGGCACTGCAGGAGGCCCAGGATGGACGGGGGAGTTGAAATGGTTCAGATGTGCAGGTGAACATCTGCTTGATGTGGAAAGTCTTCCTGGGGCCTGGGATGGGGGTGGGAGGAAAAGAGGTTGCAGGGAAAAGTGCCGGGTGTGGCGGGGCTGGAGGGGAGTGTGGAGCGGACAAGGGAGTCACGGAGAGAGTGGTCCCTCTGGAAAGCAGATAAGGGTCGGGAGGGAAAAATGTCTTTGGTGGTGGGGTCGGATTGCAGATGGCGGAAGTGTCGGAGG